GCTTTTAGGCGCGTTATTTAATAATGTATCTTCCTAAACTCGGGTGCACATTTATGTGACCCAAATCCAAATCCCAACGTTAGATAAAATGTGTTATGAACTGCGGGTGCATTTATGTGACGTGGTTCGAAACACGTTTTAAATAACGTTGCAATCTTTCTTTAATTAATTAAATAAAAGTGGTTAAAAAATTAAAATTGCACATAGGTTCAAAATGTCTTAAAATCAGATAATAAGCCAATTATAACAGTTGAGCGACCATGCTAGAACCACGGAACTCGGGAATGCCTAACACCTTCTCCCGGGTTAACAAAATTCCTTACCCGGATTTCTGGATCGCGGACTGTAATACAGAGTCAACCCTTTCCTCGATTCGGGATTTAAATCGGTGACTTGGGACACCATAAATCTCCCAAGTGGCGACTCTGAATCTTTTAATAATGAATCCCGTTTCGATTGTCCTTTAATTGAAAAAACTGCCTTTATTATACCTCTTCCGGGGGTGTAGTGTAAAAAAAGGAGGTGTGACAGGGGCTTATGTCCGATACCCATATAGTGCTGAGTGTTTGTGTGTGTGTGTGATAGTCCATGGGTATTTTGCCAGGCAGCTTGAGAGTGTTGAGAGTATGATTGAGGGGTACTTGCCAGGCTGTCACTATGAATGTACTGAAATTATGTATACTCTATATTTAAACTGTGATTCTTTATTGATTTGCAATGAACATCTAACATACAAGCAGAAAGTTATATTATTCCTCATGCTAATAAGTATTTGATGTCTCTACTTGATGCTTAGAGCTTGATATTATAGTTTTATCTTATTAAATCGATGTCTAATTGAATCATGTGGAAGAGTTGATGTCTTGACTGTTATATCTAAAAAAACATGCCTATTTCTCATCATATTATGTCAGAGTTAGGCCTATTATTATTTAAGTTGTTTTTCCTTATATGTCGTTGTGGTACTATTATTGTTATTGTTGGCTCTGGAAAGTGAGCATCAGATCTTGCCAAGTTCATCACTGCTTTCAGCCCGAGGTTAGGCTTGCTACTTATTGAGTACATGAAATCGGTTGTACTCATACTACCCTCTACACTTCATGTGCAGATTCAAGTGTTGCTGATCATGGTAATCGCCCGTGAGAGGGTCTGGATTGGCTTGGAAATTTTGAGGTAGCATTGTTGTTCAGCTCGCAAGCCTTGAAGTCCCGTCTTTTATCTTATGATCTTACTGTTCAGTCTTCCAGACGGTATTATGTTGTGTTGAGATTTTGTATTTAGTATGCTATAGAGCTCATGCACTTTGCGACACCAGGTTTTGGGGTGGATTTCAGTTGTAATGACATTTAGAATTTACTTATTTATACCATTCTGCTACTTGAGATTTTTTATTATCGTTAAAGTTTATTTTTGCATATTTATTGTTGCTTGCCCAGCAAGTAGTGTTAGGCGTCATTATGGCTCCGATGAAATTTTGGGTCATGACATCGATAAAGTCATCTACACACTCTAACTTTATGTATGATCACTTACCTCTTTGTTCTTGTTTGAAGTGAATACCTTCTTTAAGACACAGAAACAGCCTTGTGGTGGGTTGTGTTTACACGTATGTCACGTGTCAAATGCTGTTTTATTTCGTCTATTTTTTTTACTTTTCATTTTCACACTTTTTCATTTCATCTTCCCCTACTTCCTTCCTTCCATCACTAGTTTCACCATCACAAACATGAAAGACGTCCACTGCCATATACTCCCTTAAACCCATAAACTATTTCTCTGAAAAATCAAAGTTGCCTTTTCCATATTACTCCACTTTAACACCTCTCGCCTAAGCCATTTTTCCTTTCCAGAAATCTCACAATAGAGTATCCATGATAGCAAATAATTTTTTCTTAACTAAATTTTGTAATCAGTCAGTCAAACGAATAGTAAATACATAATCTATCTCTATTTTTCACTTCTTTTATCATATACCTAATGGAGAGAAAACCCGTTTCGTCGGAAATAATGGCGCCGACAAACCCTAAGCTTTTCGAACAACAACAACAACACAGTAGAATCCCACTAGTGGAGTCTGGGGAGGGTAGAGTATACGCATACCTTACCCCTACCCTAAGGGGTAGGGAGGTTATTTTCGAGAGACCCTCGGCTCAACAGACGAAACAATAATATTAGAAAGAACAAAAGAATAAATCTATAACAACAAAAGAGACCAGAAAAATAATACCCCTCCGTTTCAATTTATGTGAACCCATTTGACTGGGCACGGAGTTTAAGAAAAGAGAGAAGACTTTTGAATTTGTGGTGTAAAATGAAGCACATATATATTGTGTGGCTATAAATCATTGCATAAAGGTAAATTGTTTCCAAATAGGGAAAGAGGTCATTCTTTTTGGCACGGACTAAAAAGGAAATAGATTCACATAAATTGAAACGGAGGGAGTAATTAAAATCAAAAGAGATAACAAATAAGTGGAAGGGTAATAACTTAATACTACGCAAAACGAGAAAAATAGTGTGTACACAACAAAAACCGATAGCAGTCCTAGACAAAACACTATCAGACTAACCGGCACAACGAGGAGAAACACTCGACTACCCCATAACCTACAACCCTAATGTTCGACCTCCACACCTTCCTATCAAGAGCCATGTCCTCGGAAATCTGAAGTCACGTCATGTCCTGCCTGATCACCGCTCTCCAATGCTTCTTAGGCGGCCCTCAACCTCGTCTCGTACCTGCCAAAGGCAACCGCTCACACCTCCTAACTGGGGCATCTAGGATTCTCCTTCTCACGTACCCGAACCATCTAACTCGCTTCCCGCATCTTATTGTCCATGGGAGCAACGCCCACCTTCTCCCGAATATCTTCATTCCTAATTTTATCCAACCTCGTGTGCCCGTACATCCACCTCGACATCCTTATTATTTCGGCTACTTTCATCTTCTGGATATGTGCATTCTTCACTGACCAACACTCAGCCCCATGCAACATGGCTGGTCTAACCACCATTCTATCGAACTTACCTTTAAGTTTCGTTGACACATTCTTGTCACATAAGACTCCAGAAGCTAACCTCCATATCATCCACCCCACCCCAATACAGTGCGTGACATGTTCGTTGATCTCCCCATTTCCTTGGATAATTGACCCTAGGTACTTAAAATTTTCTCTCTTGGGGATGACTTGTGAGTCGAGCCTCACTTCCACGTCTGTTTTTTCCATCACGCCACTGAACTTACACTCCAGGTATTCAGTCTTAGTCCTACTCAACTTGAACCCAAGCTTTCCGACCAAATAAAAAAAATTCTCTCAATCTCAATTCTTGATGCAATTTTTTTAAAAAATTAATGTTTCCATCAAATCCAAGAGATTAAAAAGACAAAAATTGAGTTGTAAAATAGAGCTTGTTGAGATAGATGACTCTTGTAGAGGAAATGGATTGGAGGTGGAGATTCCGATGGAAAAAAAAGAGAAAAAGAGAGAAAAAAAGGAACAACTTTAGCTGATTTTGACTCACTTGTTTAAACATGACTAATAGCCTGTTTGACCAAGTTTCTTTTTGGCCAAAAGTGCTTTATTTTGGCCAAAAATTGAGGTGTTTGGCCAAGCTTTTGGAAGGAAAAAAAGTGCTTTTGAGGAGAAGCAGAAGCAGTTTTGCAGAAGCAGTTTTGGAGAAGCAGAAAAAAGTAGCTTCTCTCCAAAAGCACTTTTCTGAGAAGCACTTTTGAGAAAAATACACTTAGAAGCAGTTTTTTAAAGCTTGGCCAAACACTAATTGCTGCTCAGAAGTGCTTTTCAAATTAATCAGCTAAACACAAACTGCTTCTCACCAAAAGTACTTTTGAGAAAAGCACTTTTCAAAATAAATTGATTTTTACAGCTTGGCCAAACGGGTTATAAGTTTCAAACAATAAGGAGGAAAAGGACCGCCGGAGCATGTGGTAATGGCTCATTGGTTTTGTTAAAATGAAGAAAGAGAAACAAAAAATGAAAAGGAAAAGATAAATGAATAAGAGAAGAGAAGGCAAATTAAAAAAAAAATATTAACTATTACGTGTAATTAGATATAACGTCTAATAGGAAATTGAGTTAAATTAGTTTTAAGCTATTTTTGGCCATCACGCGTATCTAAGAAATTAATAGCCTGTTTGGTCAGGTTGGAAAAATCAGCTTATTTCTAAAAATACTTTTCAAAAAGTACTTTTGGAGAAAAGTCGTTTGTGTTTGGTTAATAGCCTGTTTGGCCAAGTTTGTTTTTGGGCCAAAGGTATTTTTTTTGGCCAAAAGCACTTTTGACCAAAATTGAGGTGTTTGGCCAAGCTTTTGGAAGGAAAAAAAGTGCTTTTGAGGAGAAGCAGAAGCAGTTTTTGAGAAGTAGAAAAAAGTAGCTTTTCTCCAAAAACACTTTTCTGAGAAGCGCTTTTGAGAAAAATACACTTAGAAGCAGTTTTCAAAAGCTTGGCCAAACACTAATTATTGCTCAAAAGTGCTTTTCAAATTAATTAGCCAAACACAAACTGCTTCTCACCGAAAGCACTTTTTTTAAATGTACTTTTGAAAAAAGCACTTCTCAAAATAAGTTGATTTTAGAAGCTTGGCCAAACATGCTATAATCCATTTGAAATACACTTTTGAACAACAATTTGTGTTTGGCCAAACTTTTTAAAACATGCTCTTAAGTGTCAAATTAGGAATAAGTACATGAGTTGTTTAATCACAGACATTTATTATTAAAGATAAAGGTTAGAAGGTAGCCTATAAAGTTAGAATATGTAAATGACTTTTTCGGACTTGAGGGTCCAAACTTATGTGAGATGACATTCTTTCCCTCTAAATTTAAGTGGTTGCAAGGAAGAAAACAAGCAAAAAGTAGGGGCGAAAGGCAGCAAATGGTCAGTCTCTCTGTTACAGTAAACAATTTACAACAGTGCTGTGATCGGCTCTTTTTTTCTTCATTTGGTAAAGTGAGAATTCTCCAAATTTAGTGGTGGGAAGTTTTCTATCTTGATTTTCTCGCTTTCTTGCTCTCGTAAACGATGTCGTCTGATTTCATTTGTATTAATAGTAGTATTAGCATGGACAAGTTTCTCATCTACTTTCGGTGTTGATTCCAATGAAACCCTAGATGGGGGACCATACTAAGGATTAACTACCCTTGTGTACAAAATCTATAATTGCACCAGAAACTTCTTTCACATTTTGAATCTGCTTTCATAATCAAGTGACGAATGCTACCATCATCATTGAATAAACAAAATTAAATCTGCTTTATATCAGCATCAGCCTAAATTGTTCATTATTATCCTTTCAGGCGCTGATGGAAACTTAATCATTCAACATTTATTTGTTTCTGAGAAACAGTGACTGAAAACGATATCGTGGTGTTAATAAATTGTATACTCACAAGATAACCGCATTGTGTAACCCATATCAGATATTTGTGTCTCTGACTGAATTTTATACAAGTCTTTTTCGAGCAGTTATATATCTTTTCTCTCTTAGTCAACCATAGTTAAAATCACGTTTTCACTTTTATATGGAGTTGATGATTATTGATTCTTTGTGCTTCCTACTGTGTATTTTGTTTATATATTGTCTTAATTTGCTTCTGCTTGCTTTGGGTTATTGAACTGGAAAGAAGTTCAATTAGAAAGAAGACAGGTTTTTGCAATTGGTGAGTTACAGCTATGGAGTACAACATCAAGTTTGTGAACAAGCTTAGTTGCATCATGGGCTGATGAGCCTCGCCGTAAGGTTTCTTCTTCTTCTTTGTGTTTAATTATTCGATTTTTCTTTTATCGTTTTGCTTCTTCATTCTTGTTCTCCCTATTTTCGGATGAAGCTGGGTATTTGCCCTTTTGGTGAAATTATGTACTTGTCCGACTAGGAATATCTTGTGGGGTTATGCAGATCTGTTTCCCGGTTTCTTGTGCATGCTGAAATTTTAGTGGAGCCGGGTTGTTGTTTCTTTTTACAATATGGAGTGGAATGTAAAATGGGACTGGGGAGACCTGATGATGTTTAGTTCGGAGATCTGTGGAAGTCCGAAAGAACTGCAATTAACAGATTGGGGAGTTGATGAAGAGGGAGAAGTTGATCGCAGATCCTTCAATCTTTCAGGGTTTGGCGGTAGTGTTGGTGGTTATGGCTCTGACATGGGGCGTAGTTCTTCAATTAAGAGCTCAATATCAGCTTCTACTGACTCTTCACCAAACGAGACGCTGAAAGCATCCAGCTTCACTTTTGAAGCTTCTAATGGCTCTCAAGGGAATCTTGGTAAGGATGTGGAACAGTGCAGAGATGAGCTATATAGATGTTCGCCACCCATGGAGGCTTTGATAGGCTATGATGGACCATTGACTGGTCTGGAACTTGGTAAGCGAACAGTTGAAAGCAACAGTGGTGGAATCAGTGTTAAGCTCCCGTCCTCGTCCACAATCCCTGTATCATCTGTTAGTGCAGCAAAGAAAAAAAAATCATCTAGTCAGAATGCACTAATTCCGCGCTGTCTGGTTGAGGGCTGCAATCTTGATCTGTCTTCAGCTAAAAAATATCACCGAAAGCATCATGTTTGTCACAGTCATTCCAAATGCCCAAAAGTCATCATAGGAGGTGCCGAGCGGCGCTTTTGTCAGCAGTGTAGCAGGTAAAACTCTCATTTGATGGGCCTACCTTCGGGCATCTTGTTTGTTAATAACAACTTGTTCTTCTGGATGTATAGCTCCTACGGCATTTTTTTTGTGGTGTGTGTGTTGGGGGGGGGGGGGGGGGGGGGGGGGGGGGGGCGGGGGGGGGGGGGGGGGGGGGAGTTAATATGTCCTCAGTAATTAAGCAATTTTGAGATCATAATGGCCCATTCCTTTTTTTCCCCACTGAAGGTTCCATAGCTTGTCTGATTTTGATGAAAAGAAGCGAAGCTGTCGGAGGAGGCTTTCTGATCACAATGCACGCCGCCGCAAGCCACAGCAGGAAACTATCCAATTTAACTCGACTAGGCTTTCTTCATGGTTTTATGGTATGGTGCCTATGTTAAGATTGGGCTTCTTCTGAACTATAACATGATCATTCATATGAAAAGCTTCAGCAAGAGCTACAGGAGAAGAATAATATAACATGGACAGGAATGTGTGGCTAATTGCCAGTGTTTCTATTAGAAATTACTTTTCTGGAAAACAACCAATTTCTGTGGTATTGTCTTGCATAACTCCATACGTTTTAAGACATCAGATATCAGTTTTAGTAAATTAAATAATGCATACCTGTAAGAATATTTGTGCTCCGACAATTGTCTTTTGGAAAGTAAGCCCACGAGGTGCTGCATGTGAAATGAGATGTGCTGCTTATGTTTATCAATGCTTCTACTGACTTCGGAATATGCTTTTACTTAGTCTTCTATAAGTATCATACCATCGTGTTTCCTTGCACATGCTCTGCCAGTGGAGGTTTATCCAACTTTTAGTTCACCTCATCTTACATTTTCCCAAGTTCTGTTGTCTTATTATCCCTTTCTTGGTGTGGTGGTGGTGGTGGAGATTGTGGTTGGGGTATCAGTAGGGAGCTAACTGAAACCTTTTATTTTCAGGTCTCTACCTTATCATATAACTGAAAGACACTTCTTACATTGTTTTGTTTTGTGCTTAGCCACTAAGTATCATTTTATGTGCTTCTACATTTACAGATAATAGCAAATCGATGAATTTTGTATTCAACAATGGCCTCCTTCTCCAATCTAAAACTACTGCAGATTCTACCTGGGGAACCTCTGAAGTTCCCAAGTTCACAATAACAAGAGAGTTAACTTCAAAGCCTTACAAAGCTGGCAGTATTAATGTGCAGTCACTTGTGGGGGGAATCAAGCTTCCAGGGGCTACTAATATACAGACCAATGCATCCAAGGGCACCACCACCGATGTCTTCAGCCAAGGTTTGTTTCACGACCAAGGAACCCCGACCTATAATTGTGTCTGTTTGTAGTTCTCCTATATTATGCACGAAATTCCATCATTAATCTTTTCTTTTCTTGATCTAATAGAAAGATCTCTGCTTTTGTGTTGGATATTACTGCATTTGTGTTGGATACTACCGCTATTAGTGCTTTTGATAAAGGAGCATATTGTAGGGTTCTACAATAATCTTTTAGTGAATCTGAACATTGGAGGCCAAAGTGGATTGGGGATGATTTAAATAAACTATCAAAGGAGGAAAAAGAATGGATTCAGAGGCCTGTCACAATGGAAGAGGTGGAAAGGGTTATAAAGCTATTTAAAGGAGATAAGGCACTAGGTCCAGATGGTTTCAATCTACCTTTCTTTCATAAATGTTGGAGTATAGTCAGGGGTGATGTGTGGAATGCTGTAGATTTGTTCTTTCAGGAAGCAAATTTTACTAAAAGCTTGAATGCAACTTTCATTGCTTTGATACCAAAAAAGAGGGAGGCAATAGAAATAAAGGATCTCAGACCAATCAGCTTATTGGGGTCTGTATACAAAATCATTGCTAAAGTGCTAGCAGAAAGACTCAAGCTGGTGATAGGGAATTTGATATCAGATAATCAAAATGCATTCATAAGAGGGAGACAGATTGTTGATGAATCAATGGTTGCAAATGAATGTGTGGAATATTTTTGAGAAACTAAAAGACAAGGGGTGTTATGCAAATTAGATCTTTAGAAGGCATATGACCATGTTAACTGGGCATGCCTACTAGATATCATGAGACAAATGAACTTTGGGGAAAAGTGGATAAGTTGGATTGACTATTGCATCTCCACAGTAAGATTCTCAGTTCTTATCAATGGAAACCCTCAAGGTTTCTTTAAATCTATTAGGGGATAAGACAGGGGGATCCTTTATCTCCATATCTTTTTGTGTTGGTAATGGAAATTCTCAGTAATATGCTGAAAAGAGCAGAGCTAATGGGCTGGATCAGAGGTTTCAAAATCAGAAGAAGGGGTAATGTTAACTGTGATATTACAAATATCCTCTATGCAGATGATACCTTGATGATTTGTGGAGCAGAGAAAGAACTAATTTTGTACCTAAGGGGGATTCTTTTAGCCTTTGAAGTTGTGTCAGGATTAAAGGTGAATCAAGTAAAGAGTAGTTTGTTCAGCATTAATGCAGATCACAGTATAGAGGAATTAGCAGATGTAATGGGATTTAAGGTGGAGAATTTACCTACAGTTTATTTGGGACTTCCCCTAGGTGCTAAGAAAAATGAACAAAGAATCTGGCAGGGAGTTTTGGATAGATGTTCCAGTAAGTTGACTCCGTGGAGAAAGCAATATTTGTCATTGGGAGGCAGACTTACTTTGGTTAGTAGTGTGTTGGATGGAATTCCAACTTATTTGATGTCTCTATTCCAGTTACTTGCACGTGTGGAAAAGAAGTTAAATACTATGAGGAGTAACTTCTTATGGGAAGGAAATGCAGATAGAAAGAAGTTACATTTGGTAAAATGGCAAAAGGTAATAACTGCTAAAAAGGGAGGAGGTATGGGGGTTAGAAACTTGAGAATGCACAATAAGAGTTTACTATATAAATGGTTGTGGAGATACAATGATGGAAAGGAAAGCACTTGGAAAAAACTTATAGATGCCAAATATGTGAAGAAGGATACATGGAGGCATGCAACTGTTCACAGTTCTACAAAAGGCAGTATATGGAGCAATATTAGTAAGTTGTGGAATGAATTTCAACAGCACACAAGACTGAAGTTGGGAAATGGAAGTAAAATCATATTCTGGACTGAAGTATGGGTGGGGGGTGTGAGGTTAAGTAACAGATTTCCAAGCCTATATAATTGCTCTATTAGCAAAGATGGATATGTTGCCGAGTTTTACTCAACAAATGGCTGGCAATTAAACTTCAGAAGAGGATTTAATGACTGAGAGATGGAAGAAGTGGGACAGATACTCCAATTATTGAGCACAAGTGATAGAGCAAAACAAGGAGGATCGATTGGTATGGACAGCAAGTAGTGATATGCAATACTCTGTTAAAAGTTGTTATAACCTTCTCCAGAAACAATCTGATTCTTATGATTCTAATTGGCCTTGGAAAATGCTATGGAGAACCAGAGCACCTAGCAAAGTGGCTTGTTTTTGGGTGGGTTGCCGTCAGAGAAGCTTGTCTTGCGCAAGATAATCTACAAAAAAGAGGATTTAGTCTAAGTAACAGGTGCTATTTATGTGAAGAAGAGTTGGAAACTATTAACCACCTGTTTATCCACTATAAAATTGCTAAACAGTGCTGGGAGCTTTTCTTGAATCTGTGTGGTGTTTCTTAGACTATGCCTTCAGACATAAAATCATTATTGTTTAGCTGGCAAAGACAGAAGATAATAAGAAGTAAGAAGCAGCTTTAGAGGACCATTCCTTTATGCATCTTCTGGACCATTTGAGAAAAAGACAGCGCTTGCTTTGAGAATAGGAGAATTCACATCTCTAGAATTATAAATAATCGTATGCAAAAACTATATTTTTGGTGTAAACAACGTTTAGTTGAGAGTGTGGATCAGTATTTAGAGTTTTTGGATTTGTTAGGAAACTTGTAACTGAAGTTCTGCTGCTGCAGGTTTTTGACTGCTCTTGATGTAACCTATATACCATCTTGGTACCTTTATTAACAAAATCTTTACCTTATCAAAAAAAAATTACTGCTAGTTCTCTCTAAAGATTTCTATCAAGTTATTGGATAATTACTAATGGAAGAGGGTAATATTTCTATGTGGATAGGACGTATCAACACTGCTTTTTATGGCTGCAATTAGTATCTAAGTATAGCTTCTGATATTTGCATTATAACCACATGGCTTGCAAGAGTACTGAACCTTCCTGGTGAATCTATTGGATAAATTTCATATTCTGAGTGTTCCTTTTCTGACACTGGCCTACATCTGATGAGTGACATAGAAGCACCTTATTGAAAGCTTTACTTTTATGCCATAGGAAACTCTTGTTTGTTGGGGCTATTATTAAAAAAAAAATAAAAAAAATAGGCCTTGTCTGTTTGAGTACAAAGATTGGTTTTGCAAATGGTAGAAATGATTGGTGTTATCTGATTTGGGGTTGTCTATCCTTTCAAATGCCTAATGCTAGGCTCACGAGGGTTCAAGTTCATAGGATATGTTCAATTGCAAATTAGCCAAGTTGTTTTATTTCTGAGACCTAAAAATAATGGTTGAAGCTGAATATAGACAGTCTTAACCAGTTTGTTGGTGGGTGATCTACTGGTTCGTAACACCTAACTTGGATGTATCAAAAACTAATAAGAGTTTGTAGTGGTTGTGGATCATTAATTATTTTCTCTCTTCTTACACACAGTATCTAGGAAAATTAATAGATTTAGGTGAAAACATAAACCTGTTCCCTCCTAGTACCACCTCAAGGTTCACAACTGAAAGAGGGTGAGATAATAAGTTTCAAACTCGGGTGCGGATATCCAGTATGGGTGCGGATTTAGAGGTGGGATTCTTCATCACTTAAATTTTAGGATTCTGGGATATGGTTCGGAGTGTGGATACAAGTGTTGGAATATGGCCAATAAATGTAGTACGACACATATAATTATATATTTCGATTAATTAAAGTTATTGAGCTAAAATTGAATATCCAATCAATCTTTATTTCATGATCAAAGATGTAGTCAAAGCACCCAAGGTACATTGAGCCATGCTCTTTTTTATTTTTACGAAATGCGAGTTGTCTAGGCACAAAGCCAAACAAGTCCAGATTAAGTCAAGCTTTTGCTCCTATTTTTTGGTATTTTAGCCTAACTCATTGATTAAGAATTAAGAGACTTGGTGAATTTAGTACCAAAAAACCCCTCCTGGCGAGAAGTCAAGAAATCTGCACCAAAAAAATGAATCTAATTAGGTTAATTTAGGGGATAGAGAATATGAGATAGGGAATGTAGATTCCTTTGCATCTCGATTCAGTTTTACTCTGGTGTGGATCCCGCACCCATGCCCAAATCATGTCGGATCGACACAGGTGTAGCCGGGATTTTGAAAGGTCTAAGCAACATAGGTGAGAATGGTTAAGTTGGTTCCCTCACGCTACGATTAAAAGCAATGTTGAAACGAAGTGAAGTGTTTAGTAGCATGTGTTATATAAGTAATATGCACTAAGCATGTCAAAAATTAGGGGTTGCAAAGGTTTACTTCTTTACTTTATAGCTTAAGTAAACTTGTCAAGTTTATTTGAATGTACATGGTATCTAGTGCTGGTACACCCAAAGAGGGTAGCCCGACAGTCAAAGAGTTAGTCAGCTAGAGTGACAATTTTGGCTATAGAGACCACGGTACAAATCCAACAGAGGCATACTAGGTGAATTTGTCCCATTTGTCTAAACTTTGGTGGACAAAGTTATTGATTGCATGTGTTGGTGGAGAGTTGCATGTGCTCTGTGGATTAGTCGAGGTGTGGACAAGTTGTCTGAATACCACTAGCAAAGAAAGGTTATCTTGTGCTGACACTTCTCATTTGATGGAATGTAAAGACTCCATCACGTACTCTTAGAATGTATATTTTCTTTCATCGGCCGTGGAAACCATGTGCAGGCGGCTAGAAATGGAGTACATTAAGAAGTAGAACATAGTTTTCTTCTTGGATCTGATTGAGAACTCTTGGGCAAGCCAGAGAAATGCTGGGACAAAATTTGAGTTAGGCTTTATGTTGACTAGCTTGAATGTAGCAAACTTAATTTTAGGAGATTTGATTATGTTGACTAGCTTGATTGTAGAAACTTAATTTTAGGAGATTCGATTCTATTCTAGGAGATTTTATTCTAATTGATTTGTGTAATAACTATAATTGATTTTCTTTCCTAAATTAGCCATAGGAACCTTTGTGTAAATACTAGTGCTTATTGGATATTAAAACATACTGAAATACAAGAAGTTTCATTCTTCTTCACGAAAAAGATGCGTGATGGGAGATGCTTGTGTGTTTGATTTCCTACGCAATTTGCCTCCAGCATTGATAGGTTTCTGATCAGAGTAAAGAAGATGTAAGTGAATTGTTGGTTTTCCTCTCGTAGATGGTATAAAAACATTTAGTTTATATAACATGTAAACTTATTATAAGGCTGCTGGTAGCAGAAGAAGTTTCTGCCCCTTGTAGGTATAATAGGAATCACTTGTTTGAATCCAATTTAGTTTGTTTTCTTTCATGATTAGCCAAATTGTGTTTGTGGAAGGCTTCCAAGGAGAAATTAAGAGAGAAGAATGTAGAGAATGCTATGCTTGTCACCCTGAATCGTGAAAGATGCTATAAAGTTTGAGGGGAAGCAGTCTTTAATCAGTTTTCTAAGAGTTCTCTTAATTTCACACATGTTGACGGAAGTAACTGGAAATGCCATATAATTAGATTCACCAAATTGTTTAAGAATACACAGTATGTCATTACTTTTATTTGAAAAGTATATTATTATTGTGATTGTTTGATTATTAATCTAAACTCTTTGGTTTTTCTATCAGGTGTGAAGGAGGACATGTTCTCTCCCAATATGGGCGCGGCACCAGAATTACCTCGTGCTCTCTCTCTTCTGTCAAATAAATCTTCATCCGAGCCTGAATCTACTTCAATTGGCCACCCTACACATGTAAACCAGATCAGCATAACAGAGCAGGCTATTCCTGAGAATTCACCACTTGGGTCCACTGAACACTGGCAGGCTGAGCAATATCTACTCAATCCAGGCATCCATGCTTTGGTTGCTAATGGTCATAGTGGTGGTAGCTTTCAGCTTTCCAAAGATCCATTTGTCAACTTCTATTTCAATGGATTGAACTGACACAGGGGATACTATTCAACGAACCCCTCAACGTCAGGATTGGATTTCAGTTTTTGCTGGCTTTGCATCTCCGTTTCAGCAGTTGTTAAACTGGGACCTAACCAGATGGTTCATAAGTAGGGTATTGGAAGCACTCTGTCATTCTAAAGTGGCAGAACATATGTACATGGAGTTCCTCCGGACATTGAACATCCCAATCTTGGGAAAAAAACTTTTGATTGAAAATGTGCAGTAAAATCTTTGACAAGAAAAAACTTAAATCAACAACAGGAGTTTCGAAGAGTTGGAATGTTTTCTTGTTTCTGCACTTTGACATGATGTTACCACACAGATTTGATGTCTGGTATCTAAAAATGCCAGACAGTCAGATTTATCTAAAATCGTTCTGAATTGTGGATGTAGGATTCGGTTGAATCTGGTTTTACCTTCTTTTTGTGTAGATGTATTGGCATTAAGTAATCAGTAGTCTTCATTTCTCTATGCTAGTGGATGTTTGTCCCTAAGCTTATGATTTTCTTTCCGTAGATCTACATAGGGGATCAAGAAATGAAAAAGAGGAAGGAATAGTGAGAATTGAACTCATACTTATTGTTCAAAGACTTTCACGGGTACCGCTAGACTATAAAACTTACCCTTAAAATATTTCAGCTACTCAAAGGAATTAAAATAATCCTGTTTTCATCTTGTGATAAATGTTACATTAAAGGTTACAACTGGATCAACTAAAACTCACAATTTTTTAGTTTATTGATTTATTTTTATCATTGAGAAAGATTTTAGACTTCGACAGAAAGTGTCAAATTTATTCCTTCTTCTACTTTTCAGATATAGTAAAACGTGGTGTATGTTGGTATTACTACGCTTACTTCCTAGTGGTTCAAAAGGCACATGTTATTAGTGCGAGGTGCATGTCAGAGGTTCAAGCCTGGCGAGGTCGAATGTCTTGTCTATCCAGGTCTCATCCAGTAAAGATTAAAAGAAAAAAATACATGAATTATCCTCATTACTTGTCCCCAAAAACCAGTTACATACTCTAATTTTATAGGCAATTTCGTACACCCCTAATCTTGTTTGCAACGAGACTAATCCCCCACCAATGCTGACGTGACAAATACTAATTTGGTAAAGAAGATATGATGAAGTTCCAAGTGAATTATTGAAAACTTGGTTTTTATGTGTATCTCAAGTAAAAAGCTGTTTTCCGCTCACAAATCTTTAACTTTCGCACGAAGTGAGTAACACAGCTGCTATGTAGGAGCAAAAACGAAGGATACTCCGAGCGCAAGGGTGACTATTCACTAATGAGTAAAACCACATTACTTTGAAAATGAAAGATTCTGCTTCATTTAAGGATAGACGTGTTGAATGATTAACTAAAAGAATGTTTAGTTTAATGGATATATAAGAAAAGGAAAGTTAAATTACAGTATGAACGATATACTCTCTTCCATTCTATACAAAAAAGTAGTTTACAGAAAGTATTTCATCCTGACATCTCTCTTCATGGCCTTGTATACAGCTTGAACCTGGATGAGGGCGACAAGTCATACAATGGAATATGGATTATGATTCACAAATTTAAGGTACTAAGGATAATAATACCTGCTCACTAGAAACAACTTGAATGGGTCCGATATTTACTGATACATATTTTCCCCCTGAAGATAGCTTCTGCCTCACCTGGCCCTGCATAGAAGCAGAAATACCTTGGATAATCCATTTCCCCTTTGTCACACACATTAAGGTTCAATCCACTTCACATTCTCACACAATGTGTATTGTTATAATTACGTTCTCCTACTAGCACCATAGGAAAGAGGCTCAGAGACATAAAGATTGACACATACACAATCTAGAGCAGGTTGTTATACCAACCTAAGGTATTCTGGGCAGTAAATTATTTATTGCAGTCCATATAGTTAACTACTGTTGTGCTGAGAAAACACACATTCCCTTTGTAATGCCTACCTCTGTATGTGAAGCACTGACATTTCTGTTACAAATAGAGACATAAGAAGACAACTTTTGCCCAAAGATTAGGACATGAAACAATGAGGATTTAAACTGATGTATCTTTTTAATAACCGAGAAATTCGCTATTTACAGTTTTGAAGCTCGGTGGGTTATGGGTCGGCTCCTCTGCTTTTATCTGCTTAAAATCAAACTAGATTCAAAGCATGATCTGAATGTGATGAGCATCGACCAAACGTCCCATGCTGAAATACCTTTACTGTTTAATCAAAGATCGGAGGACTATGAAAACCAATGCTTTGTATTAATTGCGGGAAAGCATGGGAGAAAAATATGTTATTGACCTGTTCAATTATAATATAATGAGCCTTATTCATATTTCCTCCGTTTCATATTGTTTGAGGTAGTTTGACTCGGCACGAAGTTTAACAAAAAAGAAGAAGACTTATGAAAGTTGTGGTCTTAAAAGATTAAGGGGTAAAAGGTTTGTGGGGCCATGCCATTTGTGTGGCTATAAAAGCTTCTCATTAAGGGCAAAAAGGGTAAAATGAAGAGTTTAAAGTTGAATTATTTCCAAATTTAGAAATGTGTCATTTATTCTGGAACAGACTAAAAAGGAAAGTACCTCATTTAATATGAAACGGAGGGAGTACAATACATATCCTATTCCTATTATATGTGGGACTAGGACTAATTACATATTATTTTCATAACTATCTAACACTCCCCCTCAAGCTGGTGCATAGATGTAACTAATATGAGGACCAGTGAAGGACTTGGTGAAAATATGATCATTCGACTTCCCAAACTTTGTAACATTATCTCGTGAGAGTATCTTTTCTCTGACGAAGTGACATTCAATCTCAATGTGTTTAGTTCTCTCATAGAACACCGGATTTGATGCAATATGAAAGGCGGCTTGATTATCACGCACAATTTCCATCTTGCTGATCTCACCAAATTTCAACTCCTTGAGCAACTGTTTAATCCAAACTAGCTCACATGTTGTCATAGCCATTACCCGAGATTGTGCTTCTACACTATACCGAGCACCCACATTCTATATTTTGCTCTTCCAAGATACCAAATTACCTCCTACTAAAACACAATATCCATCAGAAGGTAGTCCTGCCTAATCAGCATCTAAATATCCAACGATTTGCTCGTGGTCTCGATCCTCAAACAATAATTCTTTGCCCAAAGTTGATTTTATATACCAAAAAATGCGGATTACTGCATCTCAATGACTATCACATGGAGAATACAAACTGACTCACAACACTCAAGGGAAAGAAAATGTCACTCACTTGTGAGGTAATTTAATTTACTAACCAGCAGCTTATATCTTGCAGGATCACTAAGCGGCTCCTCATGTCCTGACAGAAGTTTAGAATTCGGATGCATAGGAGTGTCAACAGGTCTACAACCTGTCATTTTTGTCTCCTCAAGAATGTCCAAGGCATACTTCCGTTGTGAGATCACAATACCTGAGCTAGACTAAGCGACCTCAATGCCTAGAAAATACTATAATCTGCCCAGATCCTTAGTTTGAAAGTGTTGAAAGAGATGTTGCTTCAACTTAGTAATACCATCCTTGATCATTAGCAATAATAACAATATCGTCAACATAAACCACAATATAAATACAAAGATCTGAAGCAGAATGCCGATAAACACAGAGTGATCAGCTTCACTATGAGTCATGCCAAACTCCTGAATAACTGTGCTTAACTTACCAAACCAGGCACGAATAGACTGCTTTAGAACATAGAAGGACCGGCGCAACCAACATACAAAGCCACTAGACTCCCTCTAAGCAACAAAGCAGGTGGTTGCTCCGTATAAACTTCATCCTTAAGGTCACCATGAAGAAAAATATTCTTAATGTCTAACTGATAGAGAGGCCAATCGCGAACAACAGCCAAGGATAGAAAAAGGCGGACTGATGCTATTTTAGTCACGGGAGAGAAAGTATCACTACAATCGAGCCCAAATATCTGAGTATATCCTTTTGAAACAAGACAAGCCTTTAGTCAATCAACCTGGCCATCTAGACCAACTTTGATTGCACCCAACGACAACCAACAGTAGATTTACCTAAAGGAAGAGGAACAAGCTCCCAAGTACCACTAGTATGTAAAGCAGACATCTCGTCAGTCATAGCCTATCGCCATCCTGGATGAGAAATGATTCACCTGTAGACTTAGGCATGAAAATGGACGACAAAGATAACACAAACAAATAATGGGGTGATGATAGACGATGATAACTTAAACCTACATAATGTGGATTAGAACTAAGTGTGGACCGCATACCTTTCCGAAGTGCAATCGGTGAACTAGGAGGAGACAAGTCCGCTATAGGAGCAGGGTCAGGTGCAAAACGTGGATCAGCTAGGCCTGATGCTGGGCGGGAACAACGATGATAAGTCAAGAATGGTGTTCCTGTGGTTAGGGATCTAGGAGAAGCAACACTAGATTCCTCAACGGTTGGTATAGGTAAGACTTCTGTAGCTGAGGGTGTCGGCGGAGCTGTAGTAATCTCCTCAAAAGTCGGTATAAGTAAGACCTCAAATATATCAAGGTGGTCAGCAGCGGTAAAGTAGGCTCTAGACTCGAAAAATGTGACATCAGCTAACATAAGGTACCTACGAAGATCAGTTTAGTAGCAACGATATCCCTTTTGAACACGAGAATAACCAAGGAAGAGATACTTGAGAGCACGAGGAGCTAACTTATCTTTGTTGGGGGCTAAATTTAGAGCAAAACATGTGCTCCCAAAAATACGAGGTGAAAGAGAGTATAAGGGTTACTGCGAAAACAATACTGTATACAGAATTTGATTCTGAATGGGAGATCAAGGCATTCGATTAATCAAATAACAAACTGTGAGAACTGCATTGCCCCAAAAACATAACGGAACATGAGACTCATGAGAAGTGTGCGGGCAGTCTCAATGAGATGCCTATTCTTTCTCAATCCACCCTCGATTTTTCAGTCATTCATGAATGATATTTTCAGGATCATTTGCGGAAATTTATTTTAGTATTCTTTGATGATATTTTGAATTACAGAAGAGACTATGCTTCTCATCTTGAACATTTGAAGGTTGCTTTATCTCAAACAGAGCCAGCTAGTAATCAAGTGCATGTTTTAGGCAGCGTAAACTTGAATATTTGGACATATCATCTCCTCTAAAGGAGTGCAAGCAGATCCCTCTAAGAATGAGAGTATGATGTCTAGGCCAGTTCCTAGATATATCAAGTCCTTGCAGGGATTTTTGGGACTCGCACCAGGTACTACCGATTGTCAAAGACTATGGTAAGATTGCTTCCTCATTAACAGATTTAGTAAAGAATGATGTTGTTTTGCAGGGAGAACGAGCTCAACAAGCATTTGAGGCATTGAATTGAAGTTGGCTATGACTCAAGTACGCGTCTTAGCGTTGCCGGACTTTTCTCAACCTTTTGTAATTGAAGCTATTGCTTCAGGATTTGTTGTTGGTCCAGTTCTAATGCAAAAAGGTAAAGCTACTATGTATTTCAGTAGAATGCTTTCTTCTAGAGCAAGACAATACTCGGTATATGAACGGGAACTAATGCCCATTGTGTTAGCTGTCAAAATATTGAATCACTACTTGGTGGGTCATCATTCCATCATTAAAACTAACCAAAAAGCCCTTTAATTTTTGCTAGAACAACGAGTTATGGATGAGAATCAGCCAGTGTTGTAAATACCGAGCGCTATGTCGCTAATAGCGAGTGGCGATGCGAAGCGAGGCTGTGTCGCTATTTTTTTCTGTTGTGTTGCGTTTTAGAAAAGGAGCGCGCTTCTGCCTTTCCCCGAAAGGCGAGAAGCGCTAAGAGGCGAGAGGCGACCTATTGCGATGTTTTCTGGAAAAAAAGAAGTTAAAATGAGGCTCAGTGACTTCAAAGCAAAAAACAGAGTTTCGTCTTCTATTCGCGTAGCAAACGCAGGTTAGGGTTTGGTTTCCTCTTCACCCACAAACACAGCAAACACCAGGTAGTGTTCTTCTTGTTCTTCTCTTTTCTTCTTCTTTCTTCTTTCTTTTCTTTTCTTTTTCCGGCTGTCTCAATTTTCCGGCAGAATCTCCGGCAGCAAAGTGCTCTTTTCTTCTGTTCTTTTTCCTTGTTCTTCTTCTATTTTCTTCTTTTTTCTTCTTTTTCTGGCAGCAGATGATTTCCGGCTTTTTGCAAATGATTTCCGGTTGTTTCTAGAGTTTTTTGCTCAATTGATTCGCACCTTTTATTGCTCAGTTTTTTTGTTTTACCTGCATTTTTCCAGTTTTAGTATACAATTAATTGCATATTAACTTAATTATATGCAAATTTGAGTTTTTGGTTATTTATATATGCAAATTTGATATTTTATTTTTTGTATTAAATGGCGCTTCACTTCAAAAAGGCAAGTGCTTCGCTTCTCGCCTCAGTCAAGAAAGCGCTCGTCGCTTTTTGTCGCCTCTCGCTATACAAAACGCTGGAATTAGCCGAAATGGATTTCTAAATTCATGGGTTATAAGCTTGAGATCAAGTAAAACTAGGTGCTGAAAACAGAGTGCATGACGCGTTGTGCATGGAATTTGTAGAGTTATATGCCTTTTCTGTTTTGAAGTACGAAGACAACGAGGAATTGGATCAAAAAGTACAAAAAGACAGCAAACTGGCTTCTGTTTTGCAAAAGTTAGTTATTAAACAA